GTGGCACTTGGTATCCGTCCAGAGGGAGGGAAGCACACCCTTGCTTTGTGTTGTCTGTGGCTGAACAGCAGCTGGAGAGCCGTCTGTTTTCTAAGCCACTACATGTTACTAAACTCATTTTTTTTTGCTTATTTACATTTACCATTACATATATTTGACAAGAAATGAGATGATTTTATAGCTTTTAATTTAAATTGTTTTATCCATAAAAGCCTTTAATATATATCAAATTTCAGTTGGGTCTCACCAATTCACAATGTAGTTATTTCTGGAAAAATGTACTTTTGGATCACCTATGGAAAACAGATTTGACTAAGCTAAGGAATATTATATCTAACAAAATTATTAAAACTTAAGAACAGCTTTCTTAGTCTCCACTGACACACAAACATTCTGCAAGCCTTCTCTAGCCATATTAAGAGCCAGGAACAGGGTCTTTACTTGTATTTTAAGTGAATTGGTTTCCAGCTTTTTAAAATATGAATTTCCTCGTGTTCACTATGATATGGGCGGGACAAGATTCCTGTGTCCATTTTGCAGACGAGAGAAGTGACACCTGGAGCAGTCGAGTGTCACCCTGTCAGTAAATAGTGGATCCGGGATTAGAACTGAGATCATCTGTCAACTTCAAGTCACGCTGCCACAGTGATCACACTAACTTGGAAATGTCCATTTCCAGTTCTAGAATCAACCAAATTAACTAAGTGTTTGTTTACTGTTTTATGATCATAAATACCAGGACAGCTGATGCTTAGCTTGTGCTTTCTTTTCAGCTTGTGCCCCAGCAGGATGCATGGAAGACCTCGGGAAAGACAGCACAAAACTGCACTTGATGAATTTTACTGCAACATACAAAAGACAGGCCCCTCTCTCACCAAACGGCAAAACTCTTTGTCATGCCACGTCTTCCCCTTTACCAGGAGATGCAAAGGTTTTATCAGAGAAAGCAGCTCTCCAGTCATGGACAGATCATGAGCGATCCATTCCTCACGATGGCACAGACTTTCAGGAACACAATTCTTATGGCAGAAATTCTCTGGAAGATAATTCTTGGGTATTCCCAAGCCCTCCTAAATCAAGTGAGACAACATTTGGGGAAACTAAAAATAAACCTTTGCCTTTACCCAACCTGCCACCACTGCATTACTTGGATCAACATAATCAAAACTGCCATTATAAAAATTAATTATGAAGAGATTTATGATGTTCTCACGAGGTTGCTGTATCTCCCTCAGTGGTTTTCTTGGGAAATCATTAAACTGAAAGCAGATTTTGATTAAACTTTTGCAGAGTTCTTCAGTATTTACATTTGAACATAATGTACCATATTATGTAGTTGATTTTTCAGTATGAAAGAACACCCTCCAGCTCCATATTCTGGCTAAGAATCAGATATGTGTTACTAATTAATAAACCTAAGGTGTTTCACAATGACAACTCTACCTTTGATGATAATTGTACATTTCTGCCCGTCACATGAAGAATGGAATTGAAAGTTTTCAGACACGGTTTTACAAAGCATGTGAAATGCCTAACTCACTCATAAAAATAAAGGAGACCATTGTATCAGAGAAAAAGCATGTTAAGTTGCTTTAAGTTGCATAAAGGAGTAAAATGGCAATGTGACTTAGGTTATATTTCTGCTGACCTTATAACACGTAAGGATAAGGAAATTACAGTGGAACAATATTATCTGGGTTATTGCATCTATGTGTGCTATTGTGTCTCAAAGTATAAGATTTAAAGTCATTTTATAATCACGATGTTGATAAAATTTAAAGTACAATTTGGATTTTAAGACTTGAAATGATCTGCTCGTTGAAGCCAACTCTGTCCTGGTACATCCATCCCTCAAGTCTTAATTGAAAAAAAATGATGAAATAGTTGAAAAACCATGTGGTGTGTGAATAAACTATTACAGTCATATACATTATCCAGTTAGAAGTAGGAATAGTATCACAAAGGCTTCAGTCTAATCTGTCCTTCAGTGCTATAGTGAAAATCCCAATGGGTGTGTAACTATAAAGCCGTTTTCTTCAAAGGGTCTACACCTGCTTGTTACGTATTGCAGCTTATTAACTGGTTAAACTTTGTTTTGAAATGTAATGATTTTACTTATTGAGAAAGTGGTTTTTAATTAATTAGAAATTAGAATCCTAGAAACCAAATTCTGTGCTGTATTGATACATGATAATAGTATAATCATGAAATGTCCCCCAACGCTTTGATTCTAAGAGCCTATCATTTACAAACAAGTAACAAGGATGGCTTCATATGGAAATTTCTCTGTATTCTTTCAGGGTGGTGGTATTAAGAATATTAGTAATGTATGTCTCCGTTCCTACATCTTTTGCCTGAGATAAAGTGTTTCATGTAGAAGGCCTTTATCCTTTTTGATAGACAGTTGCAAACACCTTGGACTCAAAAGAATATTTCAAATCTCTTCTACATTAAGTGAATAGCATACATATATAAACAGTGTTCACCATTCACCAGATATTTGTCTTTCTATTATCTTACTCACTTATTCAAGCTTGTCTGTGATTAATGGAGTTGGTGTCAGATGCTGGAATTTATTCTGACCAATGAACATGGCTGACTCGAGGGAGTACAATCTCCTGCCAAGTAATAGAACAAAACCCAATATGCATAAAACAAATACAAGACTCCAGGCTTTAGCTGAAGGAAGCAACTACCTGTGTAATAAAACAAAGCAGCAGAAACTATTTGTCATGTGGCTGCATAGGCTGTACATTATATCTAATCTCTAATGTAGCTTACTGGTTTACCTTTTTTAAAACCAAGATTGAGCATTTTCCTCTGTAAAGAAAATAAGTCATATGACATAATGGCTTGATTAATGTTTTGAACAATGCCAAGACATTACTTAAAATAAATTATTTTTGTTTGAAATTGAAGTGGAAATATTGTCCTTGCCTAAATATTCCAGGGTCATGTACTAATTATAGGTTGTTAATCTGATTCATGTAACAGACATTTGTCTTGTTAAACCAACTTCTGAATGGAGACAATGCTTTTGCATCTAAACAATAGGGTAGCTATCAAACAGGTATGCTAGATGTTCTTGACAGTTTAAAGTGCTAAACAAATGATGTAAAACTATTTAGGAAAGGGTAACCAAAAGAAATTTTCCCAGTCATAAATTTTTAAATGTATTTTATGATCATTTCTGTTATTGGTAAGATTCAAAGAGAAGTGAGAGAATGGCCCATCTGTAGCTTATTTAAAATGGAAAATTTTGTTGACTTGTTTCATACTAGTTGAAGCTTGCTCCAAAGGACTTCCCTTGAAAATTTCTTTAACCTCCAGATTTTCATAAGGATAACCCAATTCAGCACATCCATAACTCAACAGAGTGAAAAGAACACGGATAACAACAACAAAAGCCTCTCAGTCCTCCCCATTAGCTAAAATAGAAGTTACATCTTCTCTAAAATGAAACTGAGATTCTGGTAAAATGGAACCTAATTCATAACTAGAGCAGGGATGTACCTCTGTGGAACACAAGAACCAAAGTAGAGGGGAGAGTTCAGGCTTCAAGCACTAAAGGACTGAATCCTGTGAAAACAGCCATGGTCTCATGCAGAAACGCTGTCTGGAGAAGGCAGATCGTACGGGTAGATCTGTGGCCTGTAACTGAACAGGAGAGGGTCAGCAGAGGTGCAGGGGTGCCAGCCAGAGGAAGAGCCGAGTGGACGGGGATGGATTCCCCAGAGAACCATGCATGCAGTGGACATTTTTATACTCTAACCTAGTCTGTTTAGCACTTGTGGGGAAGCAACATCTACATAGATGAATTTTCCACATAAAAATGAAGCTGGCCGCTCTAATTCTAATTAAAATTATAAAATAACCACAAGTTGTATATTTTTAGTAGCTTTTTAATTAACCATTTTGCCCTTTCTTCACTTAAGTCATTAAAAACAAATTCCTGTGCTCTAGGAAATCAAAAGGCCCCCAGAGGAGCGTGGGCTTGTTTACCGCCATGCCCTGTGGTCTCTGTGGCTGTATCTGCTTTGCTTGTCTGCTCCTGTTGTCTCCCTCTTGATCTGTATACCTGGAAAATGTGGTCTCTCTGGGTTTCAAGTAAGAGTCAGGTAGTTCCTTTGAGTGGTCTACTCAAGAGCAAAGTGTGGAACTTGAACATCGCATGGTTCTTTAGGGTCCTATTTACTTTTAACTCGATGGCCTAAGTTAAATCTTGTCCTAGTAGGCAGGAATTTCTATTTGTGATTTTAATAAAAATTATGTAAATACATAAAAATTTTACTTACCTGGAAACTAGCTGCAATGGCTATGGTGAAGAGTTAACAGCTCATAGGAAAAAAAGCAACCTTTAATATAAAAGCTGAACCTGGGATCAAATTATTACATCGGGACAGAAAGTTTTTACACTAGTTCCTGAAACCACTACTATGTTACAAAATGGTCATTCATCCTTATAAAGACTTTTTTAAAGATTAAAATATTTTCAGTAGCAGAATTAACAGGTCAAGGAATGCTACTACATTTTAGGAAATCTTCTATTAAAGATGTAAGTAAAACTAATTCATGCACAAGCAGTTATTTCCGCATCTATGTTTCCAAATAAGCCTTTACTTCTACTAATAACCATTAAAGCACATTTACCACATACAAGACTCCAAGTATGTCCAAGTACATACTCTACTTACCTACTCAGTTAATCCTCAGTGGTGGAGCCAGGTTCATGACCATCCTGCTATACTGCCAAGTTATTAACTCCTTTGAAGGCTGTCCATTCCTG